GAAATCCATAGTTATAAAAACATCTGTATTTTAGTATTTAGTGAAAAGGCTCTTCTTTTTATCTAATGCAAACTTTATTGTTGAAGGTATAATAAAAACTTATTTTTCTCATTTTTTAACCTTTTTTATGATATAACGTAAAATTTGCCATCTTAACCATTTGTAGGTGTACGTTAAATACGTTCACCCTGTTGTTCAGCCATCTCCACCATCCATCTCTAGGACTTTCTCATCTTCCCAAACTGAAACTCTGCACCCATGGAACGCTGACTCCCCTACCCCTGACTGCCCCCCTTCTCCTTCCTGTCCCCATGGATTTGGCTACAACCTCATGTTAATGGGTCATGCAGGATTAGTCCTGTTGTGACTGGCATGTTTCACTGAGCATAATGCTCACGGTTCATCCACGTTGTAGCCTATGTCAGAATTTCCTTCTTTTTTAAGGCAGAATTCCACTGTGTGCATAGTCTCTCTCGTTATCCTCTGGGGATTGGTTCAGGACCCTACCAATACCAAAGTCAGATGCTCGGGTCCCTGATATAAAATGGCCCAGTATTTGCATTTAGTTCACACTCATTCTCCCATATACTTTAAATCTTCTCTAGATTACTTATAATACCTGATATGATGTAAATGCTTTGTAAATAGTTATCGTACTGTATTTTTTAAAAATTTGTATTTTTACTGTATTGTTATTTTTTATTGAGTTTAAATGTTTTTTTCTATTTTTTGTTGTTGCATATTCTTCCAATGAATTTGTTGGTTTGTTTTTTTTTTTAGATACTTTTCACTTGAGGTTGGTTGAATCCACAGATGTGGAACCTGAGGACAGGCGGGCAGACTGTGCCACATTTTCTTTCTTCGTTCTTCCACCAGTGGACACTTGGGTGGCTTCTGATGCAAGCATTTTTAATGATGGTGATATCTTTCATGCCATCTGCTCCAAGACTTGTTTTTAAAATATTGTAAATTATATTACACTTTTCTGAACTGATCCCTTGACTTTAATTTTTGGCACAATTTCGTAGGTTGTCAGAGAGAAAAACCACAGGAGGTTTTAAATGAGTCTGGGGTAGGAATTAAAAGAGACATGCCGCTATATTCGCATAGTAACATTTTATGTTAAGAAAAGTCATAATGAATGTCTCAGAGTGATTCAAGCCACGGTTACTCTTCATGCTTCAGGACACTGGCACGCATTGCTCTGCCTTTCTGGGAAGAAGGTGGCATGTTCAGGAAAGGCTGGACACAGTCTGAGTGCAGCGGGGCCAGTCCAGTGGGGCTCCCTGCTGGGGAGAGAGCTGACTTAAGATGATTTACTCTGATAAGGGGACCTGGAAGATAACCTGAAATGATAAATACTGAGACCCCATTTTAGCACCTGTCTACCTCATGTGGTTCCATGTTGAGTGAGAAAAAGCAGTGCTATCCACATATGTGGCATGATCAGCTACTTAAACATTAAATTTAATAATTTGGCATTTAGAATATGATTTCCCTCTCCCCAACACCAGCAATGATAGAGAGTTATTCCCCTTACAATTTGTCGTGAGGGCATTCGTGAGCAATGTTTTCTGGTGTTATGCTGTTTGAGCCAGAGAAGCTGTGTGTGGAAAAAGGCGAGCTGCTTGTTTGGGGAATGTTACACCTGGTGTGTCATTTAAAGTCTGTGTGTGTGTTCATGTGTTTGTGCATATGTGATTGTCCCCTTCAGAACTAGTAATGGATAAGCTCATTCTAAAGTTCATGTGGAGCAGCAAAAAAAGCAAGAATAGGAAAAGTGTGTAAAGATATATTGAGGAGGGACTATTACCAGATATTAAAACATTTAAAAAGCTATAGAAAATTTTTGTTGTGTGTGTATGTGCGTGTGTATATATATGCATATGTATTCCACAGTTTATTATGGAATGACCTATGATAGATCGTATATATTATTCACAAAGGTACAGTTGCACAAACATTGACATAGGTGCCCCCGTGGACACACCATCACCCCCAGAGTGTCCTTTGCCCCTCCGGCATTCCTCCCTGCCACCCCCCCCCCCCCCGTTCCCAGCATGCACTGATCTGCTTCTGTCTCTCAAAAGGCTATAGAAATTAAACATTGCTGTGCAGAGCAGAAATAAACAGATAATGGAACACACTAGAAAGTCCAGAAATAGACCCAATGATTAATGAGAATGTGTTTTATCATAAAAAAATGACATTTTAAGTCAATGGGGAAAACGATGGATTATTCAGTAAAAAATGTTGGCAATTGGTTAGACTAATCCGGGGAAAAAATAAGACAAAGTTGGATAAATGCCTCACAGCCAAATTCAGGGCAAGTCAAAGATTGAAATATAAAAGGAATTGAAACACAGAATTACTAGAAGAAACCCCAGAGCACTTTTTAATAGCTTCATTTTGGGGCTTTCCCCAAACAGACTTTTCTAAGTTTGTTTCCAAACCCAGAAGCCGTTTATGGGAAAAGATTCAGAAATATAAAAGATTGCTAAACGTGAAAGGAAAGTCTCTACGTGCTATGAAATAATCATAAAGGTGAAAAACTGTGGGAAAAATTGGGATCATATCAGAGATAAAAGGTTAATTTCTTTAATATAAAAATACTTTTTACAAATCAACAAGAAAAAGACCTACCACTCAATAGAAGAATGGGCCTGGGTAACTAATTACAGAGCATTTAATACAAAGCGTTCCTGCATACATGAGACAATGTTCAAATTTACTCAAAAAGAAAGGGTAAAAATGAAAATTATAACAAAAAAGCATTTGCTAGCTGTTGCATTGACAGAGTCTGAAAGTTTGCCAACACCGAGCTGGTGAGGGTAGAGGGAAGCAGACACCCTCAGGTGTTCTGATCAGGTGTAAATTGGTAGAACTTTGGTGGAAGGCAATTGGGCGATGGCCTGCTGGGTCTCTGTGCACACACCCTTTGGCCAGCAGGTTCCTGTCCAGGGGAATAGCTAGAAGCGCACTTGGACCGGTGTGAAGTGATGTGTGCACAGTTGTGTTTATAATAGCAGAGGTGGGAACGCACATCGGAGCAGGACTGGTTAAGTAGCTGCAGGGAATTTTTGTTTTATATAGTCTTTTTCTTCTCCTTTTTTTTTTTTTTTGCACAGCTTTATTGTAGAATTGACCTACAATAGATTGCATATGTTACTCACAAAGGTACAGTTTGACAAATGTGTATACAGCACAGACAGATCTCTGGTGGCTGTGTGTTAGGAAAAGAAGCCAGGAGGGCAGGGCAGAGTGGGCAGTGAGCCACATTTGGGGATTCCAAGCAAAGGACACAAAAGATATAACCATGTTCATGCTCATGAGATAACTGGTCACAGTATCTTCCGTCTGGGAAGGAAGCTGAGTCTGGGCACCCTTTATGTCACTTGAATTCCTCTGGGAATAAATTACCTGCAGAGTGTAGTGCCTCAGGGGCATAATACCTGAATAGGTAATTTATTCCCAGGGGAAGTAATTACCTTTAATTAAAATTAAAGGTAAAGCAGCTTCCTGATCTTTTAGTCCAAAATTCCTTAGTATTTGAACCTTCTGAAGTGGCAAGAGACACCAGTTTTGGGCTTTTTTGTTTGGTCTTTTGGTCCTCTAGGTAGGATATAAATTAACCGATCTGTTTTTTATAAGGTCTGTTTTGCCACAAAGCTATGCCCCAAGAAAGGGATTGGAGTACCACCTATATGCTAGGTGCTGTATATTCTCTCTCCTTGATGGTGATGTTAAATACTGTGTATTTCTTTTACAAGGTTGTCTTACCCATATGCACACTGAATCTACATAGCCTTCTAAGGGATAATTAGGTGGGATTGTCTCTATGTTGCAAAGATACCGAAGGCTGATGCAAAGATACCGAAGGCTGAGAGGTTTCGATTATTGATTGTGCAAAACCACAAAGCTCAAAAGACACGTGGCAGCGGCACTTAGTTCACCAGATTTCTTCCTTCAGTGCACATTCATCGGTTGAGGTTTCTAGGGTGACCGCCGTGTTAGAGCCCTGGGCTGGGGGAATGTGGGCCTCAGGGTGATGTGGTTGGAACCTGACCCCACATGTGGCATTTTGCGTAAGACAGTGTCTTTATATTCCAGAGCAGAAATTCCTCCACCCATCAAATGGGGGAGCTATTTTCCAGGGCTACAGGTGGAGTGGGTCCGAGGAGAGTCTAGCACACAGCAGGAGTGCTGTGAATGCCAGCTGAATTGGGGTGGCTCGTGGATCGCTTATGCAAGATCAACAGTTACGAAGCCTGGCTCAGTTTCAGAGCTTTATGGTGTCTGTGCATCTGTTTGTGGAGTGCTTTCTGGTGAAAAGTCATAAATCACACGAGTGGGCCTCATTTTGTGTCCAGGCTCTTCTGAGGACCTTGCGGGGGCTGCAGATATGTGCCCTGATGCACCGAACTCAGAGCCAGGTGCACGGCCCTGGTGGTCTGACCTGTCCCCAGAGTGGGGCCTGAGGGACTTCATACTGCCCTTAGAGTCCCATTCTTAGTGTGTTAAATTACTTTCAACATATTTCTTGAGTGATTTCCTCTTTAATGTATTTTTGGCTGTTCTTTTCCTCCTGAGGGTTAAGGGCTAAGATAGGAACTGACTTTACTTGTCATTATGTAGACTAGATTGATTTTGCCCTTGTCTTAGAAAAGTGGATGGTTTTGGTGTGTTTTGGCTTGTTTTTTATTATATAATGGAAATTGTGACATTATTTATTCCTTTTCTCTCTAATCAGAAAAGAAGGTCAGTAAGCCTTTTAGACTAGCTGAGGTTTTGGTGTAAGTTTGATGCCTAATGTTAAAGTCACCGTCGTGAGTCAGCAAGGCCCAGTGGAGGCTGAGCCACGGCAGGGCCGCACGGCCACCCGCCCTACGGGTCAGCCAGAGTAAGCGTGCCACGGGTTGGGCCAGTGGGCTTTCTCGCTGCTCTGTGTTTCTGTGTGAATGCTCCAGACTTACTACTGTGCTCATCTGATCCTTCTGCAGATGAACATATCACCCGCTTCTCTCGCCAGTCGTTATGAGGAAGATTTTAAGCAAGACATGGCAGCCTTGAAGGTAAACCACGTGGCTGAGTCTTCTTGCCGGAGGATGATGGGCCACAGGAGCTGGCTGGCCCAGGGCTGCAGATGGGACGAGCTCATGGCTCTGCTTTCTTCCAGGTGCTTCCGCCCACAGTGTATCTGAGGGTAACTGAAAATATTCCTCAGATCATCTCTTTCATTGAAGGAATAATTGGTCATGGACACGCCTACTCAACGGCAAAAGGTAGGGTTTATGTCATTAAACTGACCATCGGGTAATACCAATTGGGACTTGGAGAAACTGGGCACATATTTATGAGTTGTTGGAATGCACCGAACATTTTACTGTCTGTCTTGATGTAATTCCTACAGCAGAAACGTTGTGGGGTTTCTATGGTCTCCTGTGTCTCTGCAAAGCTGTTGAATCGGTTCTTTCTAAACACAGTTTCCAATCCCAGGAGGCGGTGACCATCTGGACAGCTGGTCTTGGTAGCACTTGTGGAGGCTAGGTGGCAGCTGCACAGCTGCTCATTGTAGTGTTCTTCTGTCTTCGTTTAGAAATTTTCTTAACACAAAGCTGGAAGTAAACCCAGACTCTCCAGAACGCCCCTCCCCCCCCCTCCCTCCTTGTAGAAGGCCTGCGGGTCGTCATCTCTGTGGCTGTTCTGTCTTCTCGGGCCATGGAGGGTGGCCTGCTGACCACATTCTGAGTCCTCTGAGTGCAGCTCTGGATAAGAGGAGCCCCGGCATCAGCGCCAGGCCCGAGGTGGTGAATAATTCCCAACAGTGTCCCACGTCCTCTCCATGCTAAATGTACTCAGCTATCCCCTGATTTCTGTCATGGCCGATGCCCGCGTCCCCACATCATAATCTACTCAAGGGTGTTTCTTGAGAGCGCGTGTGTCAGTCAGTCTCTTTATCTCCCAGTCTGCTCACTTTTCTCCTCCTCACAGACTCGTTCAAGACACCAGCAGGGTCAGCTGTTGCACAGAACATCAGGGTTTGCATGGTCAGTTCCTGCTGGTGGTGCTGTTGGCTTGCAGGATGCTTATATCTGGTGGTCCTGGGTAAGGCTGGTGTCCTGGAATTTTGCAGTTCTGTGATCTCCTTGAATTCTGCTGGACCTGCCCCTTCTCACTTTTTTTCCCTAAATCCAAGTCCTCCCATCCTGCACACCCTCACTACAGAATGATCTCTCACGGGAAGTCCTCTTTCCCCAGCCATGGCTGGAAGTGAACTGTCTTTCTCAGCCTTGGTACCTGTACTGTACCCTCCGGTAGCCAGTTCCCTGCTGCTGTAGTTTGCTGTTCAATGTGTGCACATTTTGTCCCCATCTAGATTGTAAATTCTCAGACCCTAAGAACCTTTTGCTTTACTGAGTAGCCCATCAGATTGTCCTGTCCGGGGCTGCAGATGTGCTGTGTTGAAATGCTTGTTGCAAAGTCAATAACAAAGTATAAAGCACGACATGGACACCGTTCACAGGACTCTCGGCACTTCCCTTCCGGGGTCTGACCTGGGAGCACTCGGGACCTATGCATGTGGGAGTACTGTGGCTTTTTATTTGTGCTAACTTGGTCTATTCAGATTTTGTTTCCAAGAAAAACTTTTTTTAAAGAACTTAGGGGATTGGACTGGAGCTTGTGCCAGAAAACACAGGAATTATTTTTCTGCTGTTGTGTAACTTGAAATAAGACATGTAAGCCTGGGCTTCTGTTTTAGAAATAAACTGGTGGATATTCCTGAGGTGCTTAGGATTCGCATCCTCACATGCTTTGGGAGCGAATGCTGCTTATTTTATTGTTTTATTACTATGTTTCATTGTAAATTTTTCATGATTGCATAAGTATCGGTAATTCAGAACACACTTAGGTTCACTCAGACCCCAGTGGTTTGAGCTTTGTGACTGTTCCACAAGGGCTTGGCTATAATTTGATCTTTGGCCTATTGATGGAAGACAATTTGTTCAGCAAATTGATAACAGAAACAAAGGAATGGGAAAATTTTCCTTTTCTCTATTTGAGGGAGCAGTTTCTCTCTTCTTTGGGAGCGTTTTTAAAGCACTGTCTGCACTCTGACTGCATGGACAGCAGCTCTCCAGGGCCCGCGTGTCTCCTCTGCCGTCCGTGGCTCCATCCCCAGCACCTGGCTCCAGCTCAGCGTCAAGTCTGAACGACCAGGGAGGACACCGGGGCGCTGGCACCGGGGCACCTGGAAGCCACTCTGCCCCTTCCTCCTACCAGGGACTGCTGTGCCGAGGTGCCTGTTCTGTCCCCACACACCGGGGACGTGGTCCGGGTCCTTGGTGCTGCCGTGTTTACCAGTTGAGAAGTTTCTTGATCTTGGCAAGACGAGTGTCACCAGTAAGGATAGTACAGATACGAATTAGTGACTATATTAGTAAAAAGAACATGAAGATTCAAAATTAAAAATTCGTAAAGGTTAAGGATTACACCCACACTTGGGCCCTAACACCGAGACCACATGTTGTTAACTGTGGTTGGTGGGTGCAGATCTGATACTGGGGGTGGCATATTCATGACTGACTGGCACCATCTCCTTCCTGGGGAGAAATGTGCTGTGTGCAGCCACGGCCAGCCTGGGGGTGTGGGTTAGTGCTCTCTTCTTGGTGGAGCTCCCCACTCCGCGCATTTCCTTCTCAGCTCTGCTTCCGTATACTTCATAGTTGGACGTGGCAGGGGTCAACCCTGGCTCTGCAGGGGTCTCTGGCAAAGGTTATTTTTGACCCTTGGTCTGAGACTGTGGACGTCTCAGCAAAGGGACAGCCTCCTAGGCACTTCCAGCATGCAGAGGGTGTTTTTAACTTAAGTAAAAACGTAGTCTTAGGAGATCTGAATAAAGAAATAGTGTCTTTGTTAGTTGGTTTGTAACTTAAAGCCTTTATTCAGCTGAATGAAGGCCAATGATTACTTTTCTCTGTTAAAAAAGTTTGTCTCAACATGTTACAGAGAACTTTATGTCTGTGTTTTCACTTTCACACACATACACACACGACGTGTCCAAATGCATGCTTTTATACTATGGTATTGTTTCTAATTCTGGCTAAAAAGATGTTAAGCTGAGGCCGGGTGTGGTGGCTCATGCCTGTAATCCTAGCACTCTGGGAAGCCAAGGCGGGATTGCTTGAGGTCAGAAGTTCGAGACCAGCCTCAGCAAGAGGGAGACTCCTGTCTCTACTAAAAATAGAAATAAATTAGCTAGGCAATTAAAAAAAATAGAAAAAATTAGCCAGATATGATGGTGCATGCCTGTAGTCCCAGCTACTCAGGAGGCTGAGGTTGGAGGATCCCTTGAGCACAGGAGTTTGAGGTTGCTGTGAGCTATGATGACACGACGGCACTCTAGCCCGGGCAGCAGAGCTAGACTCTGCCTCAAAAAAAAAAAAAAAGAGAGAGATACTAAGCTGGGAATGGTGTCATGCGCCTATAGTCCTAGCTGCTCTGGAGTCTGGGGTAGGAGGATGGCTTGAGCCCAGGAATTCAAATCTGTAATGTCTTATGATCTCACCTGTGAATAGTCACTGCACTCCAGCCTGGGCAACACAGCAAGACCTCATCTCTAAAAAAGTATCAATACATATGTGTGTGTGTGTGTGTGCGTGTGTGTGTATGTGTGTGTATATATGTATTAAAAGGGGCCAAAAGAAGGCCAAATGTCATTTTCTGTATTTAAATACTAATTACTTATTAGATGTTAAGCTTGTATAGGTGCTGATATTTTACACTGAGAAATGATGGATTCATAATTACCTTTATGAAACAGGCAATGTCTACTTCGATCTGAAGTCTAGAGGAGACCAATATGGCAAACTAGTTGGTGTGGCCCCGGATCCAGTCGGAGAGCCAGGTGGGTTGACCAGGCCCAGCCCCTGTGGGCCCCAAACCTCTGCCTTACATCTCTGTTCTCGGGAGGTAAGGTCTCGAGCGTGGACCCCCACTTGCTCAGACACAGTGATGGTGACTGTAGGCTGATCACAGCCATGTTTTAAATTTAATTTGGTTTCTTTGAATCGATTAAACTTGTGCAGCATAAAGTTCCAACAGCAAGCAGAGCCTCTTCCTGCCCCTCCTCCACGGCACCCAGCTCCTCTCCCCGAGGCCATGCTGGTCACTGTTCTCCCGTCCTTCTCAGGGTTTTCTGTGCATATAAAAATGTGCACACACCTGGTGTCCTGTTTTAACACTCTTCTCTGTCTTGCTGTGAACATGTGTCAAATTCCCAACCTATTTGAATCTATTCTGTGTGCTCTATTCTTTTCCAGTAAGTTGTTAGGTCAAAATCATCTTTATGGAGAAGAAATAATAAGTGGAATATATAGAACTAAATTAAAGATAATTGTAAAAGGTTACTGTTTAAGGGAACCAAACAAGAATAACAAGCAAAAACCCCAAAGATAAGCTGTTCAAGTTATTTCTGTCTTTAGTCACTATCTTCCTGTCCCATAAACTACGCCATTTCAATCTAATCATTAATAGCATTGTTGGACTCCTGCTACTTTTACCCAGCCAATAGTTAGTATCCTGCTCTCCTCTGCACAAGGGCCAGAACCAAAAATCCTGGCTCGTCCGTGACAGGAGATTTGGTTACAAGCAGGCGTAGGTTGCATCTTAGGAAGTAGAGGATTTGTTTTTGAGAGTCATAGGTTTTTGCATCAGCAACAGTCATTGTTTTTTTTTCAATTTTAATAGATTGTATATTTTAGAGTCATTTTAGGTTCACAGCAGAACTGAGAGTAAGATACAAAGAGTTCTCATATACCTCCTACCCCAGCCTCCCCCACTGTCTCCATCCCCCCCACAGTGGCCCATTTCTACATTCGTTATCGACACGTCACTGTCACCCAAAGACCACAGCTCACAGGAGGGTGTACTCTCGGTGTTGTGCATGCTGTGGGTTTGGATGAATGTATGATGACATGTGTCCACCATGGCAGTGTCACACAGGGCAGTGTCTGCACTGAGAGTCCCACACCCCAGCCCCGGAAACCATTGATCTTTTTACTGTCTCTGTAGTTTTGCCTTTTCAAGAAAGCATATAGTTGGAATCATACAGTATGTACCTTTTCAGACTGGCTTCTTTCACTTAATAATGTGCATTCGAGCTTCCTCCATATCTTTCCACGGCTTGATAACTCATTTCTTTTTCACGCTGAATACCATTCCATTGTCTGGATTTACAACAGTTTATCCATTCACCTACGGGGGCATCTTGGTTGCTTCTGCGTTTTGGCAGTTGCGAATAAAGCTGCTATAAACATCCGTGTGCCAGTTTTTGTGTGGACATAAGTTTTCAGCTCCTTTGGGTAAATACCAAGAAGTGAGATTGCTGGATCATATGGTAAGAATATGTTTAGTTTTGTAAGAAACTGCCAAACCATCTCCCAACGATGCCGCACCATTTTGAGTTCCTATTGCAGTTCTCAGTGCATTCCCGTTCGTTGCTCCACATCCTCACAGCAATACTTTTTAAAATTAAAATTGTTTTCTTAAAGGAAAGCAACATATTTATATTATATATAACGGTTCAAAATTAGGAAATATTATGCGAAACAAGGGTAATAAAACCACTCATTCTTATATACAGTAAAAATATTTTAATGCCTTGGTGTTTATCATTTCAGAATAGTAGTGCGTGGTTTTTTAGTTTTTAAATTGTTATAATATCACAATAATAGAAAACAACATAAAAATTGCCCAGCTCACTGAATTTTGGCAGGTGGAGACCCTGTGGTCACCCCCCAGTGGAAGAAGACGACATGGCAGTGGATTGTAGTTCTTGGGGACCCACGTCCCACTCCCTGGCCGCCAGCCCTCCTGCCCCCTCCCGGAGCCACCCTAACTGTGATGGCGGTCACCTTCTCACCTTCTGAGTGGTTTTATTACCCAAGCATGTGTCCCTGAACACCACGCTAGCCTTAGCTGTTCTATATTTTTGTATATCATGGATGTTTTTAGTCTGCGTGTTCCTCTTTCACACTTTTCCCCTTGCAGTTCATTTGAAGCAGCGTCATGTGTCTCCTGGAATTTCCTCAGTTGGGGGTCTGCTGATTCTGTTCTTGTGCTGGTGTGTGACGTTTCCTCTGACCTGTGTTTTTTGCAAATTGGTAGTTTAACCTAGAGGCTTAATCTAGTTCTGGATTTCTGGAGAAGGCTACTTTATAGATGGTGCGTTCTGTCTGTTCTGTGTTGGCAGCCCTCGCTGTGCTAGGCTTACAGCTTTAGTGGCAAAAGAGGTTGCACGGTGATGTTATTTCCCTTCCATCACTTTGTTTATTTGCCGAAATACTTTTATGCAGACAGATTGTTACTTGGTTTCTCAGTGGTACAGTTTGTGTAGGAAAGGCAGGATATATAAATGCACAGGTCTTTGTCTTTACTTACCAATGATCAAAATAAAGAGTTGGTTTACGTATCATTCTCTGAGGGTGACCAGTTAGTTTTTTTTAATCATTAGGAACTCACAGACTTAAACATATATGTTGTGCTTTAACTCTTCACCATTGTCATCCTTATTGGTCCTCAAATTGTACCTTCCCCTGCCAGTGGGAGCTGCTGTTGGTTGACTCCCAAGTCCTTTAACCTCACCCTGTTGTAGCTGGTAATTCTGTTGCTTCCTGTTTGCTATGGCAAGACATTCCATCGAGTGTCTTCGAATAAGCCTTTTCTCCTGGAAGCTCTGTTTTTCTTTAGTGGGAAATGGTGTTTCCAGAACATGGTGTGAGCGTGAGGTTACTCATCACTATGACCTGTCGTTGTTTGCAGGCCTTTTCAGTAGGCTGAGGTAATAAACAAATGTATCCGCATATAAAATACGATGCTGCATCAGGTCATACTGGTAGTCAGATTCAAGACCTCTTCTGTTTGGCATCCAGATCTCCCTTTTCCCCGAGTGGCAGATCCCAGGTGCGGCAGGGCCCAGTGGCTGTTGCTGCTTTGTCCACCAGCCGGGTCCAGCAGCCCTGCCTGTGAGGGCCGGACCCAGTTAGGAGGTTCCTTCCTCCCCTTTCCAGAGCGGGTTCCCCAGGTCCACCTGTCGGCACTTCTGGCCATGCTGCCTCCTGCCCTGTCCACTCTCTGCCCTCCCACCGTCTCCGGGTCAGCTTCTTGGCTGTTTGTTTTTGAAGCAATTTCTGAGGGAAGAATCCTTCCTTGAGAACAATATCCCCTGAATTTTTGCCTGTTAATGACATTGTGTGCCTTTTTATATGAAAGTCAGTTTGGCTGGAAATAAAATCCTTGGCTACATTTTCTGTCCTTAAGTCTCTTAAATATATGACTCCATTTTCTTCTAACGTAATGTGGTGTCATTAAAATGTGAAGGTTCTCTAATTTTCCGTGCATTATGCTCAAGTTGTTCTATTCGCTTGGGTGCCCAGAGGACTTTTTCTTTAAAGTCTAGTCATTTTGCTAGTAGCAAAACCATGGCATGTCCAGTCTGACCAAAAAAAAGTATCAGTGTCTGCACCAAAAAAGTTCAACGTCTTTAAATTCATCACAGTTTGATAAGGTAGGTACCTGCATCAGTACCCATAGGTGAGAAGGCTGGTAGGGGGCATTGTGCACGTGGGCTCTGCCTGTTCCGGTCAGACAGGATAGCAGGTTTTGAACACAGGTCGCCTGGCCGGGGCAGGCAGCTTCCCCTCGATGGTGGCAGCCACTCTCGCTCAGAGTCTCTGCCTGGTCACCAGCGTGTCACCTGATATCACATACCTATCTCCTTCACCTTTCTTCCCTTTCGTGGGGATTTGTCTCTATTGAAACAATTCAAAGACAGTTTTCACAGACAACCCCAAAAGTCCTTACAGCAAGACTGTCAAAGCCAGGGCTATGCTACACGTCCATGCTCTGACCCAGGACACAGGACAGGGAGCTGTGCTCCCCACAGGGAGACGTGGAAAACAAGGTGTGTTTTAGGGAATGGCGATTTTATTTTACAACCCTGTTCATGTTGCGGTGCGTTTCTTCTCACACCAAACCATCCCACATGGCCTCCGTCCAGGCCACCCCTCCCCTGGGACGGCAGCTGCCTTCCTGTCCGTTTACCTGCTGAATCCCAGCCCCTTCCTCCTGACCTCACCCCGCACCATCCTCTGCAGAGCGGGCTCACATCCTCCCTCAGGGTCACATGTGCCCTTCGTTACTGTCTGAGCTGTGTGGACCTGTGTGTTGCTCACTGGCCTGTACACAGTGCCCAGCATGTCGATGTGGGTCTCGGGGAGGGGCCAAGCTGACCTCACATGCTCTTTTCCTCACTGCGTGGACTGTTCATAAGTAGGGACAGCCAGCCTGGTGATAGCTGTGGGGCTCAGAGCTGAATACCAGCGTAGCACTTAATCTAGTACCAAGTTTGTCTGCAGGACTTACTAGAATGGGCGGGACACCCTTGAAAGATCAGGTGTGATGTGTCCTGAGAGCCCGACAGGGTCCTCAGTTCTCTTCATTCGGGAATGTAAAGAGAGCCTGATAATGACTCATTGCACAACCTTGAACACATTGTTTGATCTTCCTCTCCCCAGTTTCCTTTCTATGAATGTGATTGATGCTCTGTGGTAGTTTCCTCTTCACTCTATTTGATTCTTACCTTTTTGGAAAAAGTTACCCTGAAACTCAGTTACTGACAAGCCAACAGTAGAAAGAAGAAGGAAGGTGGGGACACTCAGCCCATCCACCCCCAGAAACGGTGTCGCTCTGTGTTGCAGTCCCGACTGGTCCGTTCAGCTGGTGCCTCGTGCTCTGGCACCTCTGGGATGGAAGTGTTTGCTAGTCCTTCAGTCCGCTGTGTGGGGAAAGAGAAAGGTAGATGGATGAGGAGTGTGAGGTCACCTGTGGGAAGGAACAGGCTCTTTGGGATGTGCGGTGGCCTTTGTGGGTGTGGCCTTTGTGGTCCCCTCCTGCTGACAAGCCATTTGTCATTAGCAGGTGATTCTGACAAGCGTCACGCCAGTGATTTCGCGCTGTGGAAGGCAGCCAAACCCAAGGAGGTTTTCTGGGCCTCTCCGTGGGGGCCTGGAAGACCTGGCTGGCACATCGAGTGCTCCGCCATGGCAAGGTAAGGTTCCCATGCCGTCACATGTTTCGTGTTGATGTTCAGGCCCACGCGGTGCCTGGTTTGAGCAGCATAGGGTGTGGACAGGAGCAGGTGGAGCCTGGCACTGGTGCCTGCGGGTAGGTTGTCTAGGAAGAGACTCCTCGAGCATGACTCACTGTAGAAGGGAGACACAGCCAAACCCAGGATGCAATTAGTTTTCCCAACATCAGACATCAGCACTTCCTCTTTGTAGTAGAAAAGGCTGTATTTTATTAGGTCATTAAATATGACATGTCCAATTTCGAATCAAAAGTGTAGTTTATTACATCTCAAACAGGAAGCAGTACAATTAATCAAAGTATACACCTAAACTGTTGACACAGTTTTGCCATCTTGACAGTAGCTCGTTTATGCCAGCAGCGAAGAAACCTGGAGAGCAAGTGGCAATGAAATCACAAAAGGCGTTTTCCACAGCTTGTTAAGAATTGAATATTTAACTTGCAAGAAGTGATCCAAAGCCTGGGAGCAGTGCAAGGTCTGGTGAATACGGTGGATGACAGAGAGTTTCCAAGTCCAACCTCTGTAGTTTGAGCGGCATTGTTTGCATAACGTGGTGGAGCGTAGTGTTGCAAGAGGATTGGCCTGTCTCTATTGACCAATCTCAGCTACTTAATCGCAAGCATCCTCATCATTTCATCCAGTTGGTTGCAGTAGACATCACTGTGATCCATTGACAAGGTTTCATGAAGGTGTAGTGGATAATACCAGCACTGGACCACCAAACAGACACCATTAGCTTTTTCTGGTGAATATTCGGGTTTAGATTGTGTTTCAGCACTTCATCTTTTTCCAGCCATTGTGCCAAACGTTTGCAATTGTCAAAAAGAATCCATTTTTCATCACACGTAACAATATGGCATAGCAATGGGTCGCTTTTATGTCGTGACAGCAAAGAAAGGCAAGCTTCAAGACGATTTCTCTTCTGACGCTCATTTAATTCACGGAGAACCCATCTATCCAGCTTCTTTGCCTTGTCAGTTTGTTTCAAATGGTCCAATATTGTTGGAATGGTAATGTCAGACCTTGCTGCTAATTCACACATAGATTGAGATGGATTCGCTTCCACTATAGTTTTCAGCTCATCATTATCCATCTTGGTCTCAGGTCGCCCACGCGGCTCATTTTCAAGATAAAAATCACCAGAATAGAACTTCTCAAACCATCAGCAGACTGTGCATTCATTAGCCACATCTTTCCTAAACACTTTGTTGATATTTTGAACTGTCTGCACTGCATTGGTTCCATAATGGAACTCATATTTGAAATAACATGAATTTTTGACTTATCCGTGGTTTCACAAAAATTGCTCTAAAAAAAAATTTGAAAGATAATCACAAGCCAAACCATGCATTTGAAAGAATGAGGATGTACCTTCAAAATAAAAATAAAACAAGGAGTGTCAGAGTGAAATGTCAGAGATATCAACTGTCAAACTTAGTACTTAAGGAAATCAGACATTTCATACTTACAAACGATTTCCTTTCACATGCTGGCAGCATCCTGGTACCTTAATCCCTGTCTGTGGCCGGTCCAGGGCGCAGGGCCCAGGAGGAGAGTGCCGTGAGCCCCTTGCCGGGTGCTGTGATCACTTGCTCATGTCTAATCACAGATCTATTTTTGACCCTGGGGCCCCCCCAGTGACCTTGAGTTGCCCTCTGTCAGTGAAGCTTCTCTTCGCACCATCCACCTGTGACCACTGTCACCTGACCCTGCCTCGGCCCCCCCAGATGCTGCTATCCTGAGGCCCCCGCCATGGCCGGTTCCCTGTCTGGAAACTCCCTCTCTGTCCTGGCTTCTGCATCTTGCTGGGGCCTCTCTGCCTTGTCTCTGACCCCTCCCTAGGCACTCCTCACACGTTGGCACCCCGTGGTCTGCCTGTAGCCAGGTGCCCCTCGGCGGTGGGACTCACAAAGGCAGCGCTCCACAGTCCTCTATGCTGCGCACCTGCTCTCCCTTGGCGGCGTGGCTGTGCGGCGCTGCTTGTGTGGACAGCGTCCCATGCGTGAATGCTCCTGCATTCCCAGTGTTTTGCTATTGCAGATATCCCTGTGAATACCCCGTGTGTGTGTTTCCTGTTTGTAGAATCATTAACTCATAGATCTTAGTATATTTGACGTGTGTCAGTTCTTTGCAGATATTTATTATGATGGGCACATTTTAAAATTAGAAACAAAGTATGATTAAGGTGAACATTTCAAGTGAGTATTTTAAGATCGATAAATCCAGTCATCCTGAAATCGTTCGTTTCAGCCAGTGATGTGTGTTTTGTGGCTGGGTGTGAGTGACTGGTTGGGGATAATGGGATAGTGCTTCCCCATGAGAGACCCTGCCCCACTCACAGACACCCCAGATTGGTTTAGGTCCAGCCTGAGCGGGCCCACCCCATCCTATCAGATCGGGGGCACTCGTCCTCCACAGCCTGCATATCTGAGTTTCGTTTGTCCTTTCTAAGACCTAGAAGGAATCCTCCCTTTTCTGCAGTGATGTGTGTGTGACTCGCCTGGAAATGCGTCAGTAACTCCTGAGACATCAAACTCTTGCTGGTGTGAAGCATGGATCTGAGTCTCCATTTAAAAACAAACAAATGTCCAGCCACCAATCATACTGTAACTACTTATGTGTATTTATAAATATTTTTTATAATAACAGCAGGCTATGGGATATAAATTGGCTTGTAAAAAGATACTTATTTTTTAGATTCAAAGAATTTCTCTAGAGCAGGTAGAAAACATTTGGTGAGTTTCAGATGTAATGTTACCATTGAATATTTTATTTTTGTTGAAAGATGTAAAGTGTGAAAATAGACTATGATTCCTTCTCAGCTTTCTCTTAGTTTAAATTAGGTCTAATGTAGAGATAAGAATCGAGGCTAAAACAGTGAACACTGTGGCTCAGCTTTGTGAAATCTTGACAGTGTCACATCTGTGTCTGCTCTTTGTGAAGAGAACTCATCGAAGACACAGAGGTGGCCCCACGGCTCTCCCCGGTCCCTCCCACCCCACTGTCTGCACCCTAGTGTTTGGATTTCAGGGAGTGTGAGTTACTCTGAAACCATCACTGGGATGTAAAAGTAATGTACAGCGTTGTTTCTACGGCATGTTTCTGCAGTGCCGCTCTGCTCAGGCATGAGACCTGCATGTGCAGGTCTTCTCTGGTCCCAGGAGCCAAGTCAGGGGCAGCAGCAGGCAAGGACTTCAGTATTGGCACCTTGAAAATGCCTGTTTTCAACCATTTTAAGAAAATCTATGAGTGTCTGCACCCAGCCTGTTGAGCTCTCTGCTGGGGGAGGTTGTGCCTGCCCTGTGCTCAGAGCCCCATGTCCATCACACTGCCAGCCCCCTTGGGCAGCACCCCTAAAGTGCCACGGGGCCCAGGCCACCTGCCTTGTCTCGAGCAGGTTCCACTTGTGCTCTGCTCCGTGGCTGTTCCGGTGACAGGGCTTTGAGTGGTCTAGCCCAGTCTCGTTTTCCCCATCAGTCCTGTGAATTTAAGTGTGCGCATTTACAGACCATGCGTTTTTTCCAGAATGCATAGCATAGCAGTGTAGCAGCAATGACGACAGGTGAGATGTGCTGCTTTGAATACATTTACCTTGTTACTCATATGTGACTGTTAAAATAAATGTTCAAAAGCCAAATGAAAAATTGTCATGATTTTATAGTTGTGTCTCTTGTTAAAATTGGAAAACCACTAAGATAATTTTGTAAGTTTTTTTAAAACCATATATTGTCTCTGGAGCAAAGAGAATTAAGTTTCTTTACTAGGATGAAAAGGTATGAATTTAGGGGTTTTGTGATGAAGTAAAAATCAGATTTCAGTTTTCATTTGAATCAGATAAATTATGCAAATTGCTTTAAAATTGAGATCCATTTGTTCGTTGTATAAACAAAGCTGGAAGGATTAAAGAGAAGATGAGGTTTGGAGAAATATGTTTGATTGAATAATTCACCACCTTCCACTGTGTCTTGCAGTATGGTGTTTGGAAGGCAACTGGATATCCACTCAGGTGGGATAGATTTAGCTTTTCCACATCATGAAAATGAAATTGCACAGTGTGAGGTCTTTCATCAGTGCAAGCAATGGGGAAATTATTTTCTGCATTCTGGTAAGTAACGACTTTAAATTAATTTGTTCCATTTCAGTTCTGTCAATTCTATCTTTATTGGTGAAACAGCTATATTTGGAAATACATAGATCAGCTAATAATAGATCCAGAAACAGATCTATCTCAAATTATTTTTGAATTTTTGTCATTTGGACATGAACTTCCTTAGACCGAAATAATGAACATGCCTTTTTAGAACTGACCGGAATGTGGAAACTGTTTTACAAAGCTGTTCTATATACGTTTATTTCAAATAAAAGTATTGAGAAGGAATTTCAGATGGTATGATGTGATAACAATTATGAATATGCCATTTTTAAGCTAAAATATTGTCACCAGACGTATCTTCATCTTCTAATAACACTGCCTTCTATTTCATTACTCAAAAACATAACTGATTAACCCCAGCCATCTGTCCTCAGAAGCAGATACAACATTATGAAATAAGCTATACCTTAAGCGTAGCAATTTTGGAATTCGCTTTGATGCATGGGAACAGATTCTTATGTCCAAATTTTGATGGAGGTCACAGGGCCAGAATTAACCGGTTTTATTACCTTTTTGGAATGGGCAGCTCAGGTGCTTGAGACAAAGAAAGATAAATAGTGTTCGGGTAGTGGTTGGGTTGGGAGATGCAAACATCAACATCTAAAATACAGGAAGCTAACAAATATTTTTTAAGTCCTTGAATGAGGAAGTGAATGTGTCACAGTAAGGCAAGATTGAGTGCAGAGCTGCTGTCGTTTTGGGGTCTGCTGTAGGGTTCACTCGGGTTTCTTAATGGCAGTCAACAGGTGAGGCTGCTGGCCCCGAAGCGCACTTCCCAGTGTTCGCTTCACCCCAAGCTCACCCAGGAGGTTCCGCCCCGCCGCTGCAGTGTCTGCCTCTCACGGTGCCCCAGGTCCTGGAGTGAGCAGCTCCTTTCTGTGGTGCCTCCAGGTTGTCCAGTGGTAAAGTGGAAACAAAGCTGGCTGGATTGTCGTGTAGGGACTTGGGAACGGTTGTGTGGTATAACACATCACTTCCCTGGGAGGAACTCAACACCATGTTGTTTCTGTCAGCCATGTCTCATGCGTGGCGGCTTCCCTGAGCAGAAGGAAGCTCTGATGTTCTCACTCCATCTGCAGCCGGTGCTCTCGCGGCAGGGAGACGCTCACTGCCCAGCGATAGAGTATTTAAAATGTCGCTCCTGGGGAGCCCGGTGCTCATTTCCAGAGCCAGGTGCCCACACGACACTTGAGGCCACGTGGGAGGGAGTCTGTCTTCCTTAGGAGAAAACGTGCTCAGAGCCCCCATCGTGGGCCGGGGGGCTCAGGACCAGAGGGCACCCTGCACCTCCTGTCAGATTCGGAACAATTCATCGTCCTATGAACAGTCTGGGAAATCAGAGATGACCCTTCCACAGACACTCTGTTGTCTGTCGGCTGGTTCTGTTCAGTAGGTTACGTTTGTAACTAACACCGTGTAAGGCAGTGTGCCCTTTAGGGAACCAACAGGTGACCTGAGCCATGAAGACGCTTCAGCCTGTCAGTGAATAAGGGCTGGGGTCTTGTTCACCTTCACATGTGGGAATGGGAGAGGGTTTTTGGTTGCTGTTTTGTTTTATTTTTATTTTTTGTTTTTGTTTTTTGTTTTCGAGACAGGGTCTCACTCTGTCACCCAGGGTGGAGTGCAGTGGCATCATCACAGCTTACCACAACCTCGAACTCCTGGGCTTAAGCAATCCTTTTGCCTCAGCCTCCTGAGTGACTACAGGCGTGAGCCACCATGCCTGGCTAATTTTTTATTTTTTGTAGAGACAAGGTCTCACTATTACCCAGGCTGGTCTGAAACTCCTGGCCTCAAGCAATCCTCCCACCTCAGCCTCCCAAAGTGCTGGGATTACAGGTGTGAGCCACTGCACCCAGCCTCACCGCTGTTTTTTTTAATGCCTTTTGCTACTAAGACAATAGGAATCTTCTTCATACTAGTTTGACTCTATCCTGGAGAAACAGTAGTGTCTCCTTGCACACAGGACAGCTGACACTTTCTCCTACAGTAAATGGATGGAAGGTGGAGCTGAGGAGTCAGATGTGGTTGGTCTCAGTGTGTTTAGGCCACTGTGGCAAAATACCATAAACTGGGTTGCTTATAAACAACATGAATTTATTTCTCACAATTCTGGAGGCTGGGAAGTCCTACCTCAGAGCACCAGCAGATTCCTTTCTGATTCATAGACAGCACCTTCTCACTGTGTCCTCACGTGGTGGAAGGGGCAGGGGAGCTCTCTGGGGTCTCTTTTATAAGGACACTGATCCCAGTCATGCTGGCTGTACCCCCATGACCTAATCACCTCCAAATGCCCCGCTTCTAAATACCATCATCACCTTGGAGAGTAGGATTCCAACATAGGAATTTGGGAGGACATAAACATTCAAATAATAGCAAATATGTTTCATTTTTCAGATATTGTCAGTTTTTTTTAATTATAATCATGCTTAGTGAATATGACACACTATATAGAATTACATATTTGAGGTTATATTTTTTGCGGAAACCACATTTTAACCACAGTAGCACTCTTATATTTGAATTTGTGTCAGAAGAAGAATCTTCTGTTAGAAACAGAAAGGCCCTTCCCTTGGAAATAAGCCTTGTAAGAACACAATCCAGGCAGAATCCCAGGCTCAGATTTAGAATTCCCTAGATGGGTTTGGTTTTCTTCCTGTCTTTCACATACATCGCAGGGAGGAGGTGTAATACCAAGGTCTCGAAAAGTCCGTGAAAACACTGGAAACAGAAATTCTAATTAATCACACTCAGAGACCTGCAGGCTCAACTTTGTTGTTTTGAACAAGTTATTGCTGAGTGTGTGACTTGCCAAATGAGAGATTTGTTGTTCTTCAGGTATTCAGTCAAATTAGTATCTCTCAATTACAGGAAAAGGAAAAAATACGAAATATTGCTGTCAGCATCATAGTTTTCCATCTGGTCTTAGTTCAGAGTCAGCCAAGGCACCCGCATCGTCTGCCCCTCCGTGGGAGGCTGTGTCTTCCTGGAGGGCCGAGTGCAGGTGAAGATTTGGGGGCAGCCTTAGATCAGCACATACCTGGCCCTGCACATAGCATGGGATGCAGTTCCTGCCTGTTTCCTGGGGAGCCTCATGCCTGGAGGCTGCCCACGAGGGTCCAGGGGCCCCTAGAAGCAGCAGCTTTGCCTCCCCACTTCTTACTCTGCTGTGGGTTGCAGAGTCGCTTTCTTCTCTCCCATTTCAGAACGAATGCTTTTGTTTTTGTTTCAGGGCATTTGCACGTGAAAGGCAAAGAAGAAAAAATGTCCAAATCGTTAAAAAACTACATTACTATTAAGGTAATGTGCTTTTTGCATCTTGGGGGAGTTGCTGACAGCTTGCAGAACCTGTGCCCAAGGCTTCTGTGTCATGTGAGGACCTCACAGTAGCCTCCTGCATTCTCTTGGTTCTGGTTCTCCTGGTTCTCGGTCCAAGTGTCTGCCCCCTGCTGTTTCCTGCACCAGCTTTCCTGGTGGTTTCCCTTTCTCTCTCTGCTTTAGGACATTTGCACCTTCTTCGTCCGTCCGTTTTCCCTTTGTGACAGTTTCTCTCTCAAACAAATTCCTGCCAAATTCCTTCCCTCTCCGCACCAGCCTCCTCTTTGGTGTGGTTTTGGGTTGGTTTATTTGGCTTTTGCAGCTTGCCTTCAGTGGGCCCAGAGCTGCCTGGATTCTTAACCAGCCGGAGAAACGTCATCCTCCTGCGGTGGTTTCCCTGGGGAATGTGTATTTCCGTATGAATGGAAAACAAGCACTAACAGAACACTTTTTAAAGTTTGATTGATATCTTCCTTATCTTTGGGCCTATCTTTAAAGACAAATTTAATTTTAATTGCAAAATAGGTTGACGGATACAGTTTCTAGACCTAAATGGCAAACCACTAAAAGCTGTCCCCATCTGATCTACCATAAAAGAAGGCTGCTCCTCTCACAAAGCAGTTTTTACATACTTTTCTTAAAGAGAATTTTTCAATTTTATACTAGAAAAATTTCCAAACATACACAAAAGTTAAAAGAAACATTCATTTACCACTACATAGATTCAATAGTTGTTATTATTTTGCTTTATTTGCTGTGTAGTAGAGAAAAGAAAGCTTTTTCCTCTACCCATATTAGATTCTCTAGCTGGAGCCCTGTAAGTTAAACTAGTAAAAGACAGATGAGCAGGAGAAAAATAGAAATTTATTCACGTGTGCATTGCACGTGTATACGTGGGGTATGCAGCAGTGAGTAACTCCGGCTCATCTGGGCATACTTCACTTGAGTGCACTTCGCAGATATTGTGGGGTTTTTACAAATCGAACCTTTGCATTAACCCTGCGTCAAGCAAGTCTGTAGATGCATTTTGCCAACAGCATGTGCTCACTTTGTGTCTCTGTCACATTTGGATAATTCTTGCAATATTTCAAACCTTTTCATTGTTGTATCTGTCATGGTGATCTGTGAGCAGCGATCTTTGATGTTACTATCGTAATTGTCTTGTGGAACCATGAACCATGCCCATGCAAGACGGTGAACTTAATGTTGTATGTGTTCTCACTGCTGCACCAACTGGCCATTCCCCGGTCTCCCTCCCTCTCCTTGGGCCTCCCTATTCCCTGAGACACAACAGTGTTGAAATTAGGCCAGTTAATAACCCTGCAAATGGCCTCTGAGTGTTCAAGTAAAAGAAAGAGCGAGTGTCTCTCACTTTAAATCAAAAGCTAGAAATGATTAAGCTTAGTGAGGAAGGCATGTTGAAAGCCAAGATAGTTCGAAAGCCAGCCCCTTGCACCAAACAGTTAGCCAAGTTGTGAATGCACAGAAAAGTTTTTGAAGGAGATTAAAAGTGCTACTCCAGTGAACACATGAATGATTGGAAAACCTTATTGCTGATATGGAGAAAATTTGAGTGGTCCGGATAGAAGATCAAACCAGCCACAACGTTCCCTGAAGTCAAAGCCTAATCCAAAGCAAGGACCTTAACTTTCTTCAATACTATGAAGGCAAAGAGAAGTGAGGAAGCTGCAGAAGAAAAGTTGGAAGCTAGCAGAGGTTGGTTCATGAGGTTTAAGGAAAGAAGCTATCTCCATGACATAAAAGCACAAGGTTAAACAGCAAAGTGCTGATGTAGAAGCTGCAGCAAGTGATCTAGAAGATCATTGATGAAGGTGGCTACCCTAAGCAACAGATCTTCAAAGTAGAGGAACTAACCTTCTATTGGATGAAGATGCCGTATAGGACTTTTATAGCTAGAGGAAAAATCAGTGCCTGGCTTCAAAGGATGGTCTGACTCTTTTGTTAGGAGCTAATGCAGCTGGCGACGTTAAGTTGAAGCAGTGCTCATTTACCTTTCCAAAAATCCTGGCCGGGCGCGGTGGCTCATGCCTGTAATCCTAGCACTCTGGGAGGCCGAGGCGGGTGGATTGTTTGAGCTCAGGAGTTCAAAACCAGCCTGAGCAAGAACGAGACCCCGTCTCTACTAAAAATAGAAAGAAATTAATCAGACAACTAAAAATATATAGAAAAAATTAGCCGGGCATGGTGGCGCATGCCTGTAGTCCCAGCTACTCCGGAGGCTGAGGCAGGACGATTGCTTGAGCCCAGGAGTTTGAGGTTGCTGTGAGCTAGGCTGACGCCACAGCACTCTAGCCCAGGCAAAAGAGTGAGACTCTGTCTCAAAAAAAAAAAAAAAAAAAAATCCTAGGTGCAGGGAGTTAACTACTCTCCCAGCAAAAAATTGGGTCCCTTAGGTAGAGGTCATCGCAAAGGATAAGAAAATAATAGAAAATGGAAAATAATAGAAATAAAAGAATACACAAAGATGAAGGTATAGTTTTATAGATTTATAAAGATAAAAGGCAAAGCAGGGGTACTCAGGGGTTCTTATGAATATATCCGTGAATTGTAAGCCCACGAGTGAAGTTTTATATGGGTATTTATAGGTACAGTGATCAGTTCCCAGGGGTAACAGATTTACATAATAACAGGTAGTCCGTTTTAGGTTTAAAGTATTTCAAAAGGCTTCTATGGATCCCTTAATTAACTCTGGTTACAAAATCTTTCAAGGACACACTTCTAAGTTCTAAGATAAAGCTATCACTTAACAGAAGGGTTAAACAGAGATATAGTGGCTCCATATTTCTTTATCTAGTAATTGCAAATGGAGACAGGTAGTCAAAAGTCAAGCAGGAACTGTCCCTTGGGCTAATTGTTTTTAGCCGCAGGTATCTGTCTCAGGGGCGGACAGTCTTTGATCAGCTCTCATCCATGCAGACCTTGCTTTGTCCTTCAAAGCAGGCGAGAACCACGGGTTTGAGACAGCAGAGTCACCTTGGAAAGCAGCTGCTAATGACCTTTGAGATGCCCTCCTGAGGTGGAGCAACTTTTGATATGCAAACTAACACATTCACATATTCCTTCAGGGCAAAGCTCTGCAAAACTCCTAAGACCATTTCTGTCTCTAATATAGTAATATTAATTTATGGAGCAACACTAAGGCCCTTAAGAGTTATGCTAAATCTATCTGCCTGTTGTTCTATAAATGGAACAACAAAGCCTGGATGACAGCACATCTGTTGTTTACATAGTTTACTAAATATTTTAAAGCTACTGTTGAGACCTCCTGAGAAAAAAAGACTCCTTTCAAACTGTTGCTGCTCGTTGACAATGCACCTCGTCACCCAAGAACTCTGATGGAGACGTACCAGGAGATTAACGCTGTTTTCATGCCTGCCAACACAACATCATTCTGTAGCCCATGGATCGAGGAGTCATTTCTACTTTCAAGTCCTCTTATTTAAGAAATACTTTCAGGCTGGGCTTGATGACTCATGCCTGTAATCCTAGCACTTTGGGAGGCCAAGATGGGAGGATCGCTTGAGCCCAGGAGTTCAAGACCAGCCTGGAAACTTTCAGCAGGAATACCTCATAGGTGATGCTGTTGACTTACACCATGTTCCTCTGGGGCCAGGTCGTGTTGTCTTATGAGTCATGATGGTAAGTTTGACCTTTGGTTGAGGGATGACCACTAGATCCCTCTCTTGTAGTTTTATGTCCTTCTCGTGATACTGAGACTCTGAGAGGCGGCATGCCATGTGATAGCTTATTCCCAACAACCACCCCACCCCCTGTGGTTTTAGAGGCTTCACCTTCATCATGGATTTCATCGGTTGTTGGAAAAAGTTGTGGTTGTCTCATCCTGTTACTTTCTTGACATTTGGTAGTTGGCATTATTCTTTAAAGCAAAGGGTTTTGTCTCTGTCTCAGTATCACTATACTATCATTCAGTCATTATCTTTCTGGTGTTAAAATCATCCCGGATTGAGCCAGGGAGGGCTCTTCCAGCTGGCTGCTGCGTCCTGTGGACGTGGCTCTCTTAGTCTCTGGTGCACCATCTTCCTGCCTCTGCTCACCTATCGCTTTCCTACCCACACCTGCCACGTCTCCAGGCAGCCTCACTGCCTTTGAGGGGAAATGGGATTCTGAAGCCAAGATTTCGGCACTCAGTATGTTGATTGCTGCTGGAGTGACGTTATTTCTAGGCCTTTTCAGGGGACAGAGTTGGGGGAAGAAGACAAACATAAACATACAAAATAGATGTTTTATGTGATATATCCAAATAAAATTTAATATCACATGACTCTTTTAAAGCTCTTTTCCTCTCTTTTACTAAAAATCTTGTTTTCGTATAACGGCATATCAACACTTTGTTTCACCTTAAAATACACACAAGATTAGTTTAAAAAGTTAATACCAGTATTACTATTAACATAAAGCTATTGAGCAAAGTTTAAGATTTCTTTGCATTTCTTTTAAAAATATGGCTTTGTTGAAATATAATTCACATACCATATAATTCCCTTTAGGTCGTACTGTTCAGTGGTTTGTAGCATGTTTGTAGTTGTGCAGCCATCGCTACTGAGAACATGGTCATCACTCCAAAGAGCAACACCACACCCATCAGCAGTCACTTCTCCCTCCCCGTTCCTCCCAGCCCCTGACACCACTCATCTGCTTTCTGTTTCTATGGATTTGCCTGTTCTGGACTCGTATTTCTTTTTCTTAGACTGCATCCCATAAGGTGGTGTGGTCAGTACTCGCAGTCAGAATGTAACAATTTCTCTGGGTGGTTCTGTTTCCCCTTCATCACATGGGAGGTTCATTTGTTCAGTTTGTTTCTGATCTGACAATATCTCTTCCCTCTTTCAATTTACTTTTATTTTTCAAATCTGTAAAACATTTGCAGGGTTCGGTGTCAGCACTCTAAAGTGTGGAGAAGGCTGGCCTGCACCCCACTGCACCCGTCCTTGTCAGTAACC